GGTCCCGTCACGCCTTCTTTCGATCAGGCCACGCCCCTTTCGGTCCAGGCCCCGCCCTCCCCGCCGCCAGTTCCGGTTCCGGCGGCGCCGGCGCGGCCGCTCCGGGAGGAGAGTCCGGGAACGGGGCGGGGGTCGGAGAGAAAAGGTCAGCGGGGGTGGGGGAGCGGGGCTGAAGGTACCCGGGGTCGGGGGGCAGCGAAAGGGACGTGGCTGAGGGGTCAGAGGGGTCCTGGGGGTCACAGAGAGCAGCGGGGGGAGTGGGATGAGGGGTCACGGGGCATCTGGGGCGCTGGGCTGGGGGTCGGGGGTCGGCAGAAGAGGGAGGTGCAGGGTGGGGCAGGAGGAGCAGCAGGACACAGGGCGGGGGTCAGAGGATGGGTGGGGGCTGAGATGGGGGGTCAGGGCAGCAGGAGAGGGTCGAGGGGTACCTGGGGGTCAGGGGGCAGCGGCAGGAGGGAAGGGTCAAGGGGGTCCTGGGGGGAGGAGCGGGATGAGGGGTCAGGGGGCGTTTGGGGGTCAGGGCTGGGCGGTCAGAGGGTCCCTGGAGGTCAAGGTTGGGAGGTCAAAGGGGCAGGAGGAGGAGTGGGCTGAGGAACCAGGGAGGGGCGGGACGGGGGTCCAAGAGCAGCAGCAAACAGGGTTGGGGGCTGATGGTGGGTGTGGCGGTGCCGGGGGGTCCAAGACCACCTGGGGGCGGGGGCGGCTTTACCTCGCACCCCTCTGACCCTCCCGTGCCCTTCCCCACAGCCCGCGCCGCCCCCGCCGCGATGCTGCGAGCCCTGCGCCCCTGCCACCCCCTGTGCCACCCCCTGTGCCACCCCCTGTGCCACCCGCTGTGCCACCGCCCCCCATCGCAGCCCCTGAGCGCCGGCCCCGCTGCCCCGGAGCGCCCCGAGCCCCCGCGGCTGCCGCTGTGGCAGCGTGCGGCGGTGGCGGGGGCGGTGGCGGGGCTGGCGGGGGCGGGCTGGCTGTACCTGCGCCGGGAGAAGGAGCGGCGGCAGCGGCAGCGGCGGCTCCGGGACCTGCGGGCGCTGGCGCTGGGCCAGGGCGACTTCCAGCTGCAGGACACGTCCGGGACCCCCCGCTCCCGCGCCGACCTGCTGGGCCGCTGGGTGCTGCTGTACTTCGGCTTCACGCACTGCCCGGACGTGTGCCCCGAGGAGCTGGAGAAGCTGTGCCGGGCCGTGGAGCTGCTGGAGGCGGTGCCGGGGCTGCCGCCGGTGCAGCCGCTGTTCATCACGGTGGACCCGGCGCGGGACGACGCGGCGGCGCTGGGGCGGTACCTGCGCGACTTCCACCCGCGCCTGCAGGGCCTCACCGGCACCGAGGAGCAGGTCCGGGCGGCCGCCGGGGCCTTCCGCGTGTACGTGAGCGCCGGGCCCCCCGACCCCGACGGGGACTACGTGGTGGACCACTCGGTGCTCACCTTCCTGCTGGGCCCCGACGGGCTGGTCCGGGACTGCTACGGCCGCTCCCGCACGGCCGAGGAGCTGGCAAAGAGCGTCAGGGGGCACATGGAGACCTACGAGCCGCTGCCCCCCGGGTGACCGGGAATAAAGGGCGGGGGGAACCCCCGGAATGGGCCTGGTGTGGTTTGAGGGGAGAGAAGGGGGAGAGGGAGGGTGGTGACACCCGGGGGTGTCATGGGGAGGGACCTCCGACAGAGCCCAGTGACCTCTGGGGGTGTCACTTGGGAACCGAGGGGCCCCCAGCAGAGCCCAAGTGTGTCCAATGGGGGTGGGAGGGACCCCCTGACAGAGCCCAGTGATCCCCCCAGGGGTGTCACAGGGGGAGGGAGGGACCCCTGTGGCCCCCACCCAGGTGTGTCTGCTGGGGAGAGGGACTCCTGACAGAGCCCAGTGACCCCAAGGGTGTCACCTGGGGAGGGAGGGACCCGTAACAGACCCCACTGTGGCCCCCCAGGTGTGTGTCATGTGGAGACAGAGACTTTAGGTGGGCAGGTGGAGGGACCCCTGACAGATGCGAGTGTGTCCCAGGTGTGTTCCAGGACCAGGAAAGGACCCTTGAGAGACCTTGGTGCCCCCCAGGTGTGTCCCAGGGGTAGGGAGGGACCCCCAATAGGCCCCAGTGCCCCCCAGGAGTATCCCAGAGGGAGGGAGGGACTCCTAACAGACCCCACTGTGGCCCCCCAGGAGAGACCACAGGTAGGTGGGTGGATGGGCACTCAAAGCCCCTGTTGCCACCCAGGACTGGTTGGGGGGCTCTGTGAAGGTGAGTGAAGTGACTGCCCCCTCCACCCCCTGCAGCCCCCCAGGGACCCTCCTAATGAGGAGGGAGAGCATGAGTAGGTGAGTGAGGTGACCCCTCCAGCCCCCCTGGACCCTCCCCACGAGGAAGGAGTCCTTGTGTAGATTTGTGGAGTGACCCCCCCACCTGCAGTCCCCCAGGACTGTCCTGTGGGGAGGGAGGACCCCACACCCTGGAGCTGCCAGGACCCTCCCCACAAGGAGGGAGAACAGGGGTAGGTGGGCAGAGGGACCCCAGGCAGTCCCCAGGACTGTCCCCTGGGGTGGCACCCCACAGGCAGGTGAGCGGAGCGACCCCCAACAGCCCCTGTACCAGCCCCCGCCATCCCCCACCAAGGACACCTTTCCCTCGCTCTCCACGGCTCCTCCTGCACACGGGGGTTTATTGGGGGTGGGGGTCCCTGAGGGAGGGGGGCTGGAAGCCCTGGAACCTCTCGTGGGCGGGGCGCAGGGTGAGCAGCCGCAGCCGCGCCGTGTCCAGCGCCGCCTCCAGCCCCTCGTCCTGCTCCAGCTCCACCACCCCGTCGTTGGCCTGGGGAGGGGGGCACGGGGGTGGGCGGGGGTCCCGCGCACCCGGGGACCCCCCGGCCCCCCCCCCAAGTCCTTACCAGCTGCAGCGAGGCCAGCAGGTACCGGCACACCTCGAAGGGGGGCTGCCCGGCCACCAGGCTGGCGAGGGAGTGCCACCGTCCCAGCCCCCCGCAGCGCCCCGTCAGGGCCAGCCCGTACTCGCGCATGTCAAAGGGTGCCCGGGCCTCCTGCGGGCACGGGGGGCACGTCAGGGTGGGCAGGGACGGGCTGCCAGGGCCCCGCTGGGTCACTGCCCTCCCCAGGAGGTCCGTGCCCATTCTGGGTGGTCCCTGCCCACCACAGTCCCTGCCTGCCTCTGCCCCCGTCCCCACTGTCCCACCCACGGAGTCCCTGCCCAACCTCTTCCCTGCCCAACCTCTTCCCTGCCCAA